TACCCAGTCCCAGGAAACCATCTGCCAGTTTCTTCATCATCACTCACTGCTGAACAATGTTTGTTGATTCCTTCTTCAGTTACAAGAGGCAGTAGTCAAAACGATTTCCTGTCTTAAAGGATCAAACTCCCTCTTTCAACTTCTCACATTGTTTCACAATCTTACACTTTTATTTTCTCTAGACTGTAAAAGACACAGTGCAATGACTTTGCCTCACTCATTACTGCCTGACATACAAACATAGTAGTTGCTTTGTTGAATATTCTTTTCAATCCACAAGAAAAGGCATACTCATTCAAAAGAAATAAAAATGTTTTCCACCTTGCAATGTAGTTTAATAAATGAGGCCATAAAGTTTGAAAAGAATAAGTCTCACAAAGTACTCGTTTTCATTATTTGAACAATTGCCAAGGGGGTTGGGGGTGGTGGAGGGGAAGGGTGTGTGAATATCTGAAAAAGACACTAAGGACATGTTTGGGCCAGAGAACTATCACATATAATACTAATACCATGTCAGCATATCATATTATATTAAGTGCTTTAATAAATATTATCTCACTTATCACAATTCTATGAGTCAGGTGAGGTACAGGTTGAGTATTCCTTACCCAAAATGTTCAGGACCATAAATCTTTTGGGTTTCAAATTTTCTCAGATTTTGAAATATTTACATATATATAATCTTGAGGATGGGACCCAAGTCTAAACATGAAATTCATTTATGTTCCATATACACCTTTCACACATAGCATGAAGGTTATTTTATACATATTTTAAAGAATTTTGTGCATAAAACAAAGTTTCAACTACAACCCATCACATGAGGTCAGATGTGGAATTTTCAACTTGCCGCATCATGTCTGCACTCAGAAAGTTTTGGATTTTGGAGCATTTCGAATTTTCAAATTAAGGCTAGGCATCATTCTTCATTCCTCTTTTCCAAAGTGAGGAATCTGCAGCATCCATAAAGCTGGACCAGGAGTCAAAACAAATTCAAGCATCTGCCTACTACGTCATATTGCCTCTACACCACAGAACTGCACCTACTGCCCCTACTGCCACAACCCATGCATAAAAATTCGCCTCATTATCTTCTCAGTTTATTAAAATACCATCAGCTACTAGCTAACAGAAATGGAGTGCTCAATTAGTTGCATTTTTCCCTCTGTAATTTATTTGTAGCTGAGATAAGCAAATTTTTTTTAAAAAGTAAGATGAACAAAAACATGGTATAGTCATACAAAGGAATATTATTCAGCCATGAAAAAGAATGATACGTGCTACTGCTACATGTACAACATGGAAGAACCTTAAAAACATGATGCTAAATCAAAAAAGCCTGTCACAAAGAACCACATATTGTACCATTCCATTTCTATGAAATGTCCAGAATACACCAATCCATACAGACAGAAAATATATTAGTGGTTGCAGGGGATGGCGGAGTGAGGGTGAATGGAGAGTGACTTCTAAGGCGCAGCATATAGAATTTCTTTTTGAGGTGATGAAAATGTTCTCAAGTTGCAGTAGTGATGGTTGTGCAACTCTGTGAATATACTAAAACACTGAATTGTGCACTTTAAGTAGGTAAACTGTATATGATCCAGGCATCACCTCATCTTGTTGTGCTTTGATTTATTGTGCTTCGTAGATTCTGCATTTTGCCACAAATGGAAGGTTTGTGGCAATCCTGAGTTAAGTAAGGCCATCCGTGTAATTTTTCCAACAGCATGTGCTCACTTTGTGTATCACATTTTAGTAATGTATCATATTTTAGTAATTACCACAATATTTCAAAGTTTATTATTATTACTATTATATTATCTGTTATGGTGATCTGTGATCAGTGATCTTTGGTGTTACTTTTGTAATTGTTTTGGGGTGCCATGAACCCCATCCATATAAGATGGTAAATTTAACTGATAAATGTTGTGTATGTTCTGACTGCTCCACTGACCAGCCATTCTCCATCCTCCTCCCTCTCCTCTAGCCTCCCTATTCCCGGAGATACAATACTGAAATTAGGCCAATTAATAATCCTACAATGGCCTCTAAGGGTTCAAATAAAGCAAGACTCACACATCTCTCACTTTAACTCAAAAGCTAGATATGATTAAGCTTAGTGAGGAAGGCATGTCCTAAGCTGAAATAGGCCAAAAGCTAGGTCTCTTGGGTCAGTTAGCCAAGTTGTGAATGCAAAGCAAACGTTCTTGGAGGAAATTAAAAGTGCTACTCCAGTGAACACATGGATAAGACAGTGGAAGAATGTTATTGCTGATAGGAAGAAAGTTTCAGTAGTCTGGTAGAAGATCCACACAGCTGCAACATTCCCCTTAGCCAAAGCCTAATCCAGAGCAAGGCCCTAACTCTCCTCAATTCTGTAAAAGCTAAGAGGTGACAAAGATGCAGAAGAAAAGTTAGAAGCTGGCAGAGGTTGACTCATGAGGTTTAAGGAAAAAAGTTATCTTCATAACACAAAAATACAAGGTGAAGCAGCAAGTCCTGATGTAGAAACTGCAAGTGATCCAGAAGATCTAGCTAAGATAATTGAAGGTCACTATACTAAGCAGATTTTCAATGTAGACAAAACAGCCTTCTTTTGGAAGAAGATACCATCTAGAACATCAATGTCTCGCTTCAAAACATACGATGATTCTCTTGTTAGGGGATAATGCAGCTCCTGACTTTAAGTTGAAGCCAATGCTCACTGGTCATTCCAAAAATTCTAGGGCCCATAACAATTACACTAACTCTACTCTGCCTGTGCTCTATAATTGGAACAAAGCCTGGATGACAGCACATCTGTTTTTATATAGCATGGTTTACTGGCTATTTGAAGCCTACTATTGAGACCGCTTGCTCAGAAAGAAAGATTCCTTTCAAAATATCACTGCTCATTGACAATACATTTGGTCATTCAAGAGCTCTGATGGAGATGTACAAGGAAATTAATGTTGTTCTCATGTCTGCTAACACAAAATCTATTCTGCATCCCATGGATCAAGTAGTAATTTTTATTTCATTTAAGAAATAAATTTTAAGAAATGTATTATTAAGAAATAAATTTGAGAAATATTTAAGAAATAAATTTCGTATAAAAGAGAAATATTATTTATTTAAGAAATAAATGTCATAAGGCTATAGCTGTCATAGATAGTGATTCCTTTAATGGATCTGGGGAATGTAAACTGGAAACCTCCCAGAAAGGTTTCACCACTCTAGATGCCATCAAGAATATTTGTAATTCATGGGAGGAGGTCAAAACATCAACATTAACAGGAGTTTGGAAGAGGCTGATTCCAACCCTCATGGATGATAGGAAGTAGCTGCAGATGTGGTGGAAATAGCAAGAAAATTACAAATGGTGCCCAAAGACATGACTGAATTACTGCAATATTATGATAAAACTTGAATACATGAGGAGTTGCTTCTTAGGAATGAACAAAGTGGTTTCTTGAGATGAAGTCTACCCGTGGTGTAGATATTATGAATATTGTTGAAATGACAACAAAGGATTGAGAAAGTTGACAAAGCACTGACAGGCTTTGAGAGGACTGACTCCAATTCTGAAATACGTTCTACTGTGGGTAAAATGCTATTAACGAATGCATGAAAGAAAGAGTCAACTGATGCAGCAAATCCCATTGATATTTTCTTTTGTAATAAATTGCCACAATCACCCCAGCCTTCAGCAACCACCACTCTCATCAGTCAGCAGCCATCAACACCTGAGGCAAGACCCTTTACCGCAAAAAGATTACAACTCTCTGAAGGCTCAGATGATCATTAGCATTTCCTAGTAATAAAGCATTTTTAAATTAAGGTATGTATGTACTCTTTTTTAAGACAAAGCGCTGTTGCATGCTTATTATACTATAAACATAACTTTTATATGTACTAGGAAACCAAAAAAATTGTGTGACCCCCTTCATTGTGATATTCACTTTTTTGCAGTGGTCTGGAATTGAACTTGCAGTATCTTTGAGACATGCCTGCATATGAATTATTTCTCAAACTGTTTTAAAAAATAATGACCCTATGACACTGTAAAATCCTTAATTTAAAAAATTCAATTATTTTCTAATATATTGCACATCAACTCAGGGAAGTGATCTAATAATTTTAAAACATTTTCAGTAATTATGTCATAAGCATTTTGGTGTTGCCTTGTAAAAAAAAATTTACTAATTCAGAAAAATGGAGTCTTCTTTAAAAAAATTTTTTCCACTTTTACCAAAAAATTATTTCATTCCATTTTTTAAATACTTTTGTTAAATACTCAGATTAAGTTTTACTGAAGCATAACTAACAATTTTAATTAGAGAGTTAGATATCTTAACAAATGTATACAGCTGTGTGCGTAATCACCACAATCCAGTTTGGGAAAACTTGGACCACCTAAAAAGTTCTCTATGCTCAGCTGGGTGCAGCGGCTCATGCCTGTAATCCCAACACTTTGGGAGACCAACGGGAGAGGACTACTTGAGCCCAGAAGTTTGAAACTAGCCTGGCAACACAGCAACACCCCACCTCAAAAAAATTTTTGTTTTTTAATTTAAAAGGTTCCCTGTGCCCATCCCTGCTCCTACCTCCAGACCCAGGCCACCAACGATTTGCTTTTGTCTTCAAAGTTTTGTGCTTTTTAGAAATTTCAAACAAACAGAATCATTCAATATATAGTCTTATGTATCTGGCCTCTCTCATTTGGCATGTTTCTGAAGTCAACCATTTGGCTGACTATCGGTAGTTCATTCTTTTTTAACTGCTGAGTGGTATTCCATCATATGTATGTACCACGTGTTTATCCATCTATCAGCTGATGGGCACTTGAGCTGTTTATAGCTATCATGTTTTTAGCTATCACAAATAACACTGCTGTAACCATTGACATGAGTCTATGTATAGACACATATATTCATTTCTATTTGGCAGATACTTAGGAATAAATTTGCTTAGTCGTATAGATACATGTTTGACTTTTTTTTTTAATATATCTTGTATTTATGATTTAAGAACGAGTATTTAAAAACTATGACCTGTATTTATGTAACTATAAGGGAGATTAGAAACCAAACAGATGGATATTTATAAAAACTGGTATTTCAGGAAAAGATTTAAAGAAGCTCATTCCAACTCCTTTGTATAAACTAGGGAACACACAATTACTTTAAGAAGAATTAAGTTTTTTCTTAATTGCTCTCCAGATTACATCAAAGGTAAAACATTTAGTGATCTTAAGGCTTTAACTTCCTCAAATTTTCAATGGATTGCCTTTCAGAATGATTTTTCTAATTAACGTGAGAGGAAATCTAGCTAATAAAAGGCCAAACTCTTAGATTCTTTTCAAGAGTTGAATGAATGTTTATGTATCAACACAGATGGATTTCAGTATTCACTCACTAAGCAGAAAGGAATAATTAATTTTTATCATCCATGTACCATACAAATATGAAGTTAAAATAGAATTTTCATTGATGGCCAATACTGTAGATTCCATGTTACAATGAATTCCAAGATCATCAATTTCTGCATCTTTAGTAGAAAGTGTAATTTTCAGTGTTACAATGTCTTCAAAGAGTCTTCAGTTTGTCTTTATCTTGCTCTTTTTGACTGCAAAGTGCAAAAGATTCCTGAACAAACTGCCTGCACATTGGGCACTGCTGAAAATACTTCACGCAGCCATCACACAGGCAGGTGTGTATGCATGGTAAGAGCGCCCAGTTCACAGTCTCATTCTGGCAAACAACACAGTCCTTGCTGTTCTCCGATGGCTCAACTTCACTTTTAAAGAGTCTCACCTTTTCCAACAAACTTCTGTCTGTGTTTTTTTCTTCTGAAGAGGAATAGTTGGAGGGAGTGAAACTATCATTTGCAGACATGAAAAGTTGCTTAAGATCATGAAATTGACCTCGAGCCAAGAGTAAATGTTGATAAAATATTCTGCAGGATAGTTTATAAGTCCTATCAGGAATATGAATCACTGACACCATGGAAATAATATCATAAATTTCCCGGTCATCCTCATCAGCTAAGGTCAATAGCGCTACCAATGGATAGCGAGATGTGGGCACTGTGCCAAAGTCTTCAATTTTATTATCTCTTGGTAACCGGCAATATATTTCTTCTTTGCTATCCTTTTTAATACTTTTTGAAAATGTAAAGGCAAATTGCCACTATAACCATAAGAACAAAAATATACCAAAAATGATCAATAAGTTAGCAACACTTTCAGTGCTGATGGGTATATCTGATAAAATGATACAAATACTGTTCCTGATAGAGATATTAACTATACAGAGCATCTTCTAATGCTTGGGGAGTGCTTATTCTGAAGCAATAAACATGCTTCTGCAGAGCTTCATATAATTTTTGAACACTGCACCCCCAGTAGCATGTAAGGAGACTATCTTCAAGGCAATCTGTTGTCAAGGTTATGCCAGTTGTAATTGAAGCTGAAGATGGATTAGTGATCTCTAAGCCAAAAGGATTCTTGACTTGTCTCATTTGCTTTTTGAAAACTCTTGTGCTGAACTGGGTCTCTTCTGAAGTTCTCAGAATTACTGGAACATCCCAACCAAACCATCCCAATACCAGACCGGTAGTCACGACGAAGCAGGTAAAGACCACCGCGATATAGAAAAACGGTGAGTATTCATAAAGCATTACCAGAAACACCGCAGCCATCAGGGTCTTTCGCTCTGGATAAAGCCAGGCTCAAGCCGCGTAGCCCAGCCCAGCCCAGCCCGACATGTTTGACTTTTTAAGAAACTGCAAAACTTTTCCCAAGGGGCTATACAATTTTATATTCCTAGCAGCAATGTATGAGGTTTCTAGTTTCATCACATCTCACCAACACTTAAGACAATCTCTTTTTTATTTTAGCTAATTTAGAGGATTCATCAGTGGTATTTCACTGTGGCTTCAATATCTAACGACAGTGAACAACCCTTCATGTGCTTGTTTGCCATCCATACATCTTCTTTAGTGAAATCTGTTCAAATCTTCTGCCCTTCTAAAAACTGGTTGTTTTGGTATAAGTTCTAATTGCATATTCTGGATTCAATCCTTAATCATGTATGTTTTGCAAACACTTTCTTCAAATATTTGGCTTGGTCTTCTCATTTTCTGAATAGTGTCTTTTGAAGTAAAAGGTTTTAAATTCTGACGTTCATTTTAATCAACCTTTTTTTTTTTTTTTTTTTTTTTTGAGTTTTGCTCTGTTATCCAGGCTGGAGTGCAGTGGTGCGATCTTGGCTCACTGTAACCTCCGCCTCCAGGGTTCAAGCGATTCTCCTGCCTCGGCCTCCAAAGTAGCTGGGACTACAGGCGTGCAACACCATGCCTGGCTAATTTTTGTATTTTTTTGTAGAGACGGGGTTTCGCCACGTTGGCTAGGCTGGTCTCGATCTCCTGGCCTCAGGTGATCTGCCGGCCCAGCCTCAGCCTTCCAAACGCCGATTACAGGAATGAGGCACCACGCCCAGACCATTTTATGAACTTCTGTTAGCAGATCACACTTTTGGTGTTACATCTAAGAAATTCTTGCCTAATCCAAGGTCATGAAGATTTACCCCTAGGTTTTCCTGAGAGATTTATAGTTTTAGTTCTTATATTTAGGTCACTGCCCCTGTATTTTCTTTAAGAAATTTTACAGTTTTATATACTACTTTAAATAATCTGTTTTTGTGTACAGTGTGAAGGGTCTAGGTGCCATTTTTTGACAAGATGTATATCCAATTGTTTCAGTACCATTTGTTGAAAATACTACCCTTTTCCCCAATGTATTAGCTTGGCATCTTTGTCAAAAATCAATTTACCATATATATCTGAGTTTATTTCTTGATTCTATTTTATCCTATTGATCTATTAATATTTGACTATTAATATAGCTTTATATAAGTTCTGAAGTCTGGTGCTTTAAGTCCCTATGTTCCTTCTCAAAATTATTTTAGCTCTTCTAGGTCCTTTAAATTTCTGCATATATTTTAGAATTAGTTTCTCAATTTCTATAAAAAAAAGTACTGAGATTTTTGATAGAGAATCTACAGGTTACTAATTTGGGTTTTCCAATCCATAAAAATTATATATATTTCCTTTATTTGGGTCATTTTTCTGAAATGTTTTGTAGTTTTCAGTATACAGAAACGCTTATTTTAAAACACCAATGATAAACTTCTTAAAGCGCTAAATTGAAGATAAAATAAAATAGCAAACATTACTTTAAAATCTTCCAAACACAGTTTTAAGTTTATCATACCTCATATCCAAAAGCAAGACAAGCAATGAACAAATAATAAAGATATATTATCTCATAAAGTCTAAGGGTTATAAACCATTCATAAAATTGAGCAGGAAAAAAGTTAACTCCTATTTCAAAGGTACTTGCCTTGAATGAAATCGCCACACAACTTTTTGGTAGCAGAAACTAAATACTCAATTTGGTTTTTCTTCCTGAACTCCCAACAAACTCAAGAAATTTCCACAAACTAGAGTCATATCCACAAACAAAATATATTTTTGTAAATAAAATGTAGTACTGGAAACACAATGAAACACACCATCTCTAGTTTTTTTCTATCTCAATTTTTAGAGCATGATTTTTGTCTCCAATTTTAAGTGTATAAGCCTTCATTGAAGCAAATCTGACAAATAAAATGGAATTGAGGTTCTATCAAAGGTTCAAGTCTTGAAAATTATTTTTAATTGATTATAAATATTAACAAAAGTTTTTCTCTTTCAAACTAAAAACATTTTGCACATTCATAGCAGGAGTCACATAGAGTTCACAATTACACTATTTATAAAATAGCTAAAGATAGGAACTATCTAAATGCCCACCGACAAGAGTACATGGCATAAATTATGGTGTATTCACATTATTGAATATTGTACTATAGTGAAAATGAACTACAGCTATATGCAATAATATGTTGAATATTAAAAACATAAAGTTGAGAGGGGGAAACAAAGCAACGTCCAAAAGACAATAAGCAGTATGATTCCAAGAAAAACTAAATATATCATTTGGGCAGCAATACATTAATAATATAAACCATTTTAAAGAGGCGAAGGAATGACAAATACAAAATTCCAAAGAGTAGTTTCTGGAGAAAGGGAAGAGCAAGAGGAGGCAGGAAAACGGAACAGTTGAGGAACACATAAGTAAACAAATCCAAGTTATTATTAATATTGTAGTTCTTGGGTAGAGTGGAAGGTTTCATATGTTTTATAACTTACACATGTTATCTAATTCTTTTGTATCATATTACATTAAAAAATATTTTTTAAAACACAAGCAAAAACTATTTTTTAAAATTACTCATTATAAAAAATTTTCCAGAAGTTTAATAGTAAACTCAAAATATACTTCAAAGTTTTTAGAAAGTTCTTACCTTTGTTTCTGTTCAACTGCTTTGTCCAAATGCTGAAAGATATCCTGAAACAAGGTGCAGCTGGATCGACTGTTAATAGTATACCCATATCCTCTTTTCCAATATTGTTTCAGATCATTTAAATACTCTAATACCTAAAAAAAATTCAAAAATAATTTCTAATATATTTTCAAAAACATAACAGATTCCCTGATTTAATAATGATTCTCTAAGAAATGGTTATAGTGTTTAATTACCATTCTGCACAAAATATAGTATTTATGTCATGTCAAGGACACATTTAGAAGAAAGAATAAAGAAGAAGAATATTCATTAAAACACAGAAGATAACAACAGTAGATGAGAAATGTTTAAGAATTTTGAGAAGGTAGAAGTCAAATAGAAAATGAGTTACTTTGGTTCATGTATCATTGGTGAAAAAAATAATAATAAAAGTGTACCGAGGATATGGGGAAATGGGTACTGTCGGGAGGAATGTATATTGGTGGAGACATTCAAGAGGGCAAACTGGCAAAATCCATGAAAACACACATATTCTATGACCCATTTAATTCCATTTCTTATAAAGTGATATTCACAGAGGAACACCAGCGAGAATGTACAAGAATGACTTACAGTGGCACTGCTTATAGATGCCAAAAAATCCCCAGAAACAACTAAATTCCAACAGTCGGTAGATGGTTAAATAAACTATGGTATACACATACTACAGAATACTTTGCAGTTATCAAAAAGTTCTGTATTATAGATCTCTATGTACTGACATGGAAGAGCTCCAAGACACAATGTTGAATAAGAGTCCGTTAAAAATAATACATACCCTATAATACCATTTATTATCCCCCCCCCCACACACATACACATTATACCCTTTATATTTCTAAGAATGATACAGATTATACAAGTATAGAAAACAGTTTGAAACTTAGCTATCACTGATTACAGTGATTAATCTCTGCTGCAAGGTCTGGAATCGAGAGCTGGTAATTAGCCTTTATCTGAGGGTTAAATTTTGCACTTACGTATCATTTGATCATTTGCTTATGTAGAAGTGAACTAAAACCTTTATCTAGAACTAAAACCTGTAGCTAAAACCACAACTAGAGGACTAAAATATGTAACCCAAAAGAGGTTCAAAGACGACTGCAATAGTCACGAACCTTTCTTCCCAAAAGAGCTCCTAGAGAAACTAAGTTCAAGTCATAGTAAGTTTTAAGAGCAGGGGTGGGTCAGTGCCATATGTAAAAACAAAATAAAAAATACATTAAAGGGGTGAGGAGGAGCTGCTTGCTACACTAGCATTGCTGCCTGCAATCTAGACTAGCATAGCACAATGGCAAGTTGTGTCCCTTCCAAAGGCAGAAGTGTAGATATTTATTAATGAAGAAAAGGAGAATAGCTGAGGGTAAAACGATGAATAAGTGGTTTATAAAGGAAATGAAATATTACATGAACGCCTTGAACGAGGCTCCGAGCAAAAGGTGACACTGTCTCTTAGCTCAACTGACAGATGCATGAAACGGTGAAGCTATATATTTGCCAAAACCACTCCTGGTTTTGGAACCTGACAGGATTGAAAGGAAGCTGGCAAACCTGAGTGGCCTCGCCCTGGAAGACATTCATATAAGATGATGGACTGGACTAATTATTAATGACTGTGTATACTCTTTTGATGTAAGGTATCCCTCTTTGAAAACCAGGGGCTGATCTGTAGTGTTATGATATGTATATATTGGCTTTCATCCACACTTTCTGGTTTGTAATTCCCATATCCCTTGTTGAAGTCTTTTGGTATAATACTGGGTGTGTGAGGCCTCAGGGGCAGGCCTCAGGAAACAGAATCTCTCTCCTGCCTCCCTTTCCACAGTGCAGAGGCAGAACTCTCATCTTCCTGCCTTTCTGGGGGTCTTAAGATCCTGCCCTGAAAGGGTCCTGCCTCATATCCTGGGGGGAAGGAATACTTCCATAAAAACCCAAGAGGACTGGATTTGGAGAGCTTACAGAAAGCTGAACATGTGGAACTTCCTGGAGGGTGGCATGCCCAGGGAAGACATGGAAGCTCCACGCCCCTTCCCCCATAACTCGCCCTACTCATCTCTTCATCTGTATCCTTTGTAACATCCTTTATAATAAATCAGCAAACATGTTTCCTTGAGTTCTGTGAGCTGCTACAGCATATTAACTGAACCCAAAGAAGATGTCATGGGAACGCCAACTTGAAGCCAGTTGAGCAGAAGAGTACCAATGGGGCACCTGGGGACTGAGCCCTCAACCTGTGGGATCTAACACTACCTCCAGGTAGACAGTGTCAGAACCGAACTGGAGGACACCCAGCTGGTGTCTCCTGCTTGGTGTGCAGGGGAAAGGCTCCCACACATTTGGTCACAGAAGTCTTCTGTGTTGATGATTGTGGTGGTGGTGTGAGAGCGGAGGAAAAACACGGCTTTAGAGAGTCTGTCCTTACCCAAAGGCAATTAAATCAAGAAGTTAGCAAAGAGACATAAACACTTAAGAAATTTAAAAAGGAATTAAAAGGAATTAGATAAAAGTCTGTTCAATCTATTCAAGAAATAAAATCTATTAGAAATAAAAAGGAGGCAACTGAGATTTTTAAAACTCTCACGTGCTTACTATTAAAACTTCATATTATAAAAAAACAAAAAAAAACAAAAAAAAAAGGCCCAGTGCGGTGGCTCACACCTGTAATCCCAGCACTTTGGGAGGCCGAGGCAAGTGGATCCCTTGAGGTCAGGAGTTAGAGACCAGCCTGGCCAATGTGGCAAAACCCCTTCTATACTAAAAATACAAAAATTAGCCAGGTGTGGTGGCGGGTGCCTGTGGTCCCAGCTACTCAGGAGGCTGAAGCATGAGAATCAACAATTCTACCACAGACATACACCTTCAGAAACAGGTATACCTGTACCCCAACAAACATATACATAATGTTCATAGCAACAAGGTTCATAACAGCCCCAAACTAAAAACAATGTCTACCAAAAAGATAATGAATTAACTGTAAAATATTCATATAATGGAATACTATATAGTAATGAAAAATAAAAACTGTAGCTATATGCAATCTCATATTTTTCAATTTAAAAACTTTATTAAAATTGTAATTTACATATACGTGATTTAAATATACAGGTTGATGATTTTTGACAAATATAAACACCTGTATAACCCACCCCCGCCGTGTTAATACAATGACTTAATCACCCCCAAGAAGTTACCTCATGCCCCTTTGCTTCAATCTCCTCTAATACTCTGCTACAAGTATATGTTTTACAGAATCCTGAGAAATGTCTGTGACCTCATAATTCACAATCCATTTGAGAAGAGGTACATTTTCCTGAAATTTGTGAACCTTTTCATAACACAACAGGTCAAGATCATTTAAAATTCCTCCCAGTTCAAATTCCTGCCTTCTAAGTAGCAATCTATAAATGGGAAGCTTTTTTTTTAAACTTGTGTCATGGGGGTATGTCGTATGGATTATTTCATTACCCAGGTATTAATCCTAGTGCCCATTAGTTATTTTTCCTGATCCTCTCCCTCCTCCCATCCTCTGCCCTCTGAAAGGCCCCAGTGTATGTTGTTCCCCTCTATCTGTCCATGCGTTCTCACCATTTAGCTCCCAAATAAATCTCAAAAACTTAATGTTGAACAAGAGCTGGATACTAAAAGAAAAAAACATACACAGAGTAATTCCATAATATAAAGTTCAAAAACAGATAAAGCTAAACTGTTTCTTGGGGAAAAAATAAATTAGTAAACAATAAACTACCGTAATAAAGAAAAAATTGAAAGCAAAAATACACAAGTAATTATGGGGAAATAATTTCAGAGAAGGAAAACACTTTTTAAAATCAAAAGATATATTGGCTTAATTCAGCAAATAATGGATAACATGAATGACTGACTTTCATAGGTACATTAAATACCAAAACTAATCCCAAGAGAGAGAAAATCTAGACATACTTATTAAAGACACAAATTGCAAAAAAGCTATCCTACAAATTAATTTTCTCCTTTGTGCATCACTACACCATTTACGGGCAGTCCCCAACATATGATGGTTTGACTTACAATTTTTCAACTTTACAATGGTTCAAAAGCAATACACATTCAGTGCACTCCTTGACTTACAACGAGGCTATGTCTGGATAAACGCACTGTAAATCAGAAATGCACTTCCAACTTAAGATATTCAACCTGCCATGGGTCTATCTGGATGCAACCCCACAATAAGTCAAGGAGCATCTGCGTATGTTTCTATTACTGTATAAACATTCTATTATCTTGCAATGGTTTAGTTACACGTCTTTCATTCCTTGCAGCATTCTTTGAGGACAGTATCTATCTAATGTTAGTGTCTTCAGTTCCAAGCAAGTGCTTGTCACAGAACAGAAACTCAAAAAATGCTTGCTGAAGGTACTCAAGGTTCAGGATATCTAATTATCTCAGAATTTCATAAATGTCTATTCATTTTTAATTGTAAAAAACATTCTTGGCCAGGCGCAGTGGCTCACACCTGTAATCCCAGCACTTTGAGAGGGTGAGGCAGGAAGATTACTTGAGGTCAGGAGTTCGAGACCAGCCTGGCCAACATGGTGAAATCCCGTCTCTACTAAAAATACAAACATTAGTTGGGCGTGAAGGCACACGCCTGTAATCCCAGCTACTTGGGAAGCTGAGGCAGGAGAATTGCTTAAACACAATAGGCAGAGGTTGCAGTGAGCTGAGATCGGTCCACTGTACTCCAGCCTGGGTGACAGAGGGAGACTCTGCCTCAAAAAAAAAAAAAAAAAGAAAAAAAAAATCTTAAAGAAGAACTTTAAACACATAAAAAATATAAGACAGTAGTATAAAGAACCTCTGTGTACTTATCCAGTTTCAACAATAATCAGCATTCAACCAATCCCATTTCAGCTTTGCTCCTACCACTACCACTGAATTATTTTGAAGCAAATCCCAGGTATCATTTTATTTCACCTGTAAATACTTCAGTATATAAACCTATTTCACAGTGAAAGTCCAAAGCAGGGATAAATTATTTTCTATCAAATCACTGAAGAAGAAAATAATAGAAAATACCCAAAGTGCTGGGATTACAGGCATGAGCCACCACGCCCGGTCAAGAAGTTCTTTATTTACAAGAAAAAAGGTACCTCTACAATAAAGAGATCAGGCAGACACCATTGTAATCAAATGATCAAATGGTCAAGAATCACTTGAATCTGGGGAGCGGAGGTTTCAGTGAGCCAAGATTGTGTCACTGCACTCCAGCCTGGGCAACAGAGAGAGACACTGTCTCAAAAATAATAATAATCATCATCATCATCATCATCATCATCATCAATGACGTGACAAATGGACATCAGTCCTTCTGACATGATGCACTGAGAAGGATATATCACTTATGTAGGGCTCTTGTCAAAAATGTTTAATCTGAATCTAATCCTAAGTAAAAAATATCAGACACATCCAAAAGCATTCTGCAAAAAACCTGGCCTAGACTCCTCCAAAACACCAATGTACGAAGGGCAAAAGGAAGGCTGGAGCACTCTTTCAGGTTAAATGAGACTAAAAGAAATGCAACCAAATGCGATGAATGATCCCTTATCAGATCCTGAATCTTACAAAACAAAACAAAACAAACAAAAAACAGCTATAAAAGACTTAGGATGTGAAAATTTGAAAGTTGACTGTATATTAGAAAATACTGTGGTATACATTATACACATAAATATAACTATGGTATACTGTATTGTGGTTATACAAAAGAATGTTCTTGTCCTAGATGCATGCCCAAGTATTTAAGAGTGAAGCATCCTGATGGTGGGTACAAGAAGATTATATATACATAGTGGACAGAAAAAACTGCTCCCATATGTCCACATTCTAATCCTTGACATCCTATGAATATGTTACCTTACCTGATAAAAGGGAATCTGCCAACATGATTAATCTCGAGATAGAGAGATAAATCCTGGACTATCTAGGTGGGCCCAGTGTAATCAACAGTGTAATCAACAAGTATCCTTACAAGAGGCAGGCAGGAAGGACAGTTAAGAGTTGGAGATATACCCATCAGAAGTTTGAGTGACAGGAAATGCAAGCAGCCTCTGGAGATCAGAAAAAGCAGGATATGGATGTTCTCCTAAAGCCCCCTGAAAGAATACGGCTCTATTGATACCTTGATTTCAGCCCTGTAAGATTCAATTTGAACTTCTGACCTCCAGAACCATAAGATAATAAACTTATATTGTTTTAAGCCACTAAGTTTGTGATAACTTGTTAGAGCAGCAATAGGAAACTAATATAGTAGAGAGACTCATAAAGGAAATGTGGCAAAAAAGGTTAACAACTGGTAAATATAGGTGAAGGACATACGAGTGTTCACTGTAAAACACAGAACACAATTTCCCATGAAAAAGGTTATAAAACAGTCGCTAGGACTTTGGAAAACCATTTATTCTCTCTGAGCTTTGGCTTCCTATAAGAATAATCTGGGATTATATCAGCTCTACAATCCCTTCCGAGCAGTAAAATTTGATGATGGGTTGGTTAAAGGTAGGTCTGTAGATGGGTTGATTTAGAAATCAAATCACCATGGAAAAAATGTTTCCAGAGTTTTTTGAACCTGAACTATTTACAAGTAGGTGGGACTAATGTGAACCTTTAGTCTCTCTTTATTCAAGGAAAATTAGGAGTTAGTCACAAAACAGCTTATGTTCCCTAACTGCTCATTTTCTGAAAAGCTGCTTCAAGTAACCAAATACAGACAAGCAAGCCAAAAAAAATTTTTTTAGAAAAGCAAAGGAACTGCAAAAATAATACTTACCTTTGCATCATCTATGTCAAAAACATCACACCAAGGAGATTTAACACCTTTAATTGCCAGGTCAAATGAACAGGTGAAAAAGGCTACTTGAATTAAATCTGGGGGGGGAAGAAAAGGTAAAATTTTGTGGGTCATTATTTTCTGCAATTTTTCAAAGGTTAAATATCTTTGTGTGGTACAGTTCAATAAAATGGACATCTTTGGTTTCGGGAAGATATTATTTAGTTTCTTCCTGGCTATCAAAGCATTAAGAGACTTGCTCTGTATAATCTAAGGGGGCAGAACTGAACTATCAGGAAGAAACCATGAGAAGTATAAATTTCAGTCCAAAAAAACTAAGAAATTTTCTGTAATTGGTAACTTTTTTCTGCCTCCCCTGCCTTTTTTTTTTTTTTGACAGGGTCTTGCTCTGTTGTCCAGGCTGGAGTGCAGTGGTGATCACAGCTCACTGCAACCTCGGATTCCTGGGCTCAAGCAATCATCCTGTCTCAGGTAATTACTTGTTAAGAACATATTTGCCCAGCAATATCAACAAAAAGTGTAATCCAAGGACTTGCTATATAAAACTTAACATGATTTTGTTAATTTTAGAGGGTTCAAGGAGGGGGGCTAAGGTTATAAAGGTTTTAGTACCGGACTTGAAAAATTACAAATAACAAAGTACATTTATTGAACAGTTTAAATTATACAATTCATTTTATAACTAAGAAGCAGCAGTAAGTACAGAAAAGATATAAAAGGAGAGAGAAGACTATAGAGATAGAGAGGGAAGAAGTGCAAGGTAAGTGAGGGGGAAGGAGAGACAGCCAAAGAACAGAAGCACAAAGGGGAAAATCACACACTAGAGCGAAACATTGGTACCAACATCAGTTTTTCAAACTTAGCTGCTCAAATGATTTCAGAAGTGGATTTCAGAATAAGTTATCTAGGATTTTTACACTGCTAATTTGCTGATTACATTACTTTGAGACACATATGGGTATTGAAGAGAAGGGATAAGGGAATGAATGCTTGGGCTATAAAAAGTAGCCTTTGTTAGTAAATAAAACACTGCTGCTTTCTAGTCCATGAGAAGTGGGTGATATTTAACGCTAGAGAGAAAAAAAGTCAACTGCAGTGGTTGCCTCCACTGCTTCGATTTTTCTTTAATTTTACTGCGTTTCCTGTTTTCCTAAAGGCAAATGGGACCAATAATCAACTGACGTTACATGCATTTTGCGCTAGTTCTGAGTTTACAGAATTCCCCTGAAGCAGTATACGATACAAAAAAATATATTTCATTGGGAATATACAGAAAAGCCATTCAAAACTTTGCTCATGTAAAGAAAAGGTTTTATAATCTCAATACCTGATACAATATAGTGGCTTGTAAGTACCAGGTACATTTGATGAAAGGACCTGGCTTATTTACACTCAAAGCTCTAATTCCGAAACTATGAAGTCAGTCCAAATGGTATATTCTTTAACTGGAAGAGAGTTTACTTGAAAAAAAAAAAAATCACCAAACAACTCTTCAGAGTACAGGGAGAAAAAGCATCAGATCAAGACAGGCTGAGACCTGACTTTGCCACTAATTATCCTGGGTAAGCTCTCTTAAGTGTCAATTTCCCCACTTACAAAGTAAAGAAGTTAGATACATGATCTTATTTAAGTTGCAGCTCTGACTTATCCGTTATGACCATTCTGATTTCTTGGTCAATCTTTCAGAACCTCAAAAACATTTCAGGTGGGTAAGAAATTTAAATATTTAAGAAACGAAATAGACCCTTTCCCTCTGCTCCCCTGAGAAAAAAATAAAACAACAAAAAAGGAAGACAATAGGAAAATACAATAATCTTGGAGTGGGAGGATTCCTGGACAAAATACAACACTCAGAAGCCATAATGAAGGACAGATATGGCTATTTAAAAGATGTAAACTTCTGTGCAATCAAAGGCACCATCAACAAACCTAAGAAATAAGGAAAAAATTAAAATATTAGCAACATACAACAAGCAAAGGGAGAATCTTTCGTCAGGCAGAATTAAAAGATATAATTAATATACCTATAACACATAAAAGGTATTTGTGATTCATAAGAAAACAAAAATAACCCAACAGAATATGAACAAAGTTATGAAGGGGCAATTCTCAGAAGAAATACAAATGGCTACTAAACATGAAAAGATGTTCACTTTCAGAAGTAATCAAAGAACTGCAAATTAAAGCTAGGTACTATTTTTCATTAATCAAATTGGCAAAAATTAAAATGACTAATAATATCTACTGTTGGAAGATATGGGAAAATGAACATTCTCATATACTGTGGATATAAATTTTTACTACACCTTCAGAGAATAATTTCAAAGTATATGTCAAGATACAAAATATTCATGTGTGTTCACCCAGCAATTTCACCTATTTACCTTTAAAAAACGTTTTTTAAAATCTATTTATTTATTTGGAGACCAGGTTATGAGACTGGCTAATTTTTGTATCTTTGATAGAGGAAGGGTTTCACCATGTAGCCAAGGCTAGTCTCAGACTCCTGGGCTCAAGTGATCCAACCACCTTGGCCTCCCAAAGTGCTGGGATTATAGGTTATGCCACGACACCCAGCCTCACCTATTTTATCTTACAAATAAACTCTCAAGTGTAAAAAACAGACTACAAGAGTGTTCACTGTAGCATTACCTGAAAGAGTTAAAAACTAAGAAAAACTTCAGTAGGAAAATGGTTTATATAAAAAGAATCTGGACTGCATTAGCAACAGCCTCTTACAGCAGTAAAATTCGATGATGGGTTAAATAATTTAACTAGCATTGACTTACAAATTGAGTCACTCATATGTCCCATGAAATAACACAGGATTTAAAAGAATGAGACAGTTCTGTATTTGTCTAGAGACAAATATATTGTTAAGTAAAAATAGTAAAGTTACTGAAAATACATATACCATCACCCCCTATGTAAACAAAAGGGTATTTAAATAGCAAAAGTATTTATTGCGCAATTACTGTACCAGGTACCAAATGCTTTGTATGAATTAATCTTATATAATCTTTGCAATAATCCTACAAGACAAGAATAATTCCCACATTCATTTTACAAAGAAGGAAACTGTGGCATAAAGATATTAAGAAACTTGTGAAAAATCACAGTTATTCAATAGGATAGTAAAGTCAAGATTCAAATGCAAATAGTCCAATTCCAGAATACATTATTTTAACCACTATATTAATATTGCCTCCGAAAAGAAGCAGCTGTTACTCCATCAGTAAAATACATAATTCTTGCCCATTCAGAGACTAAAAATAGTTTAAATAAAATCTTTTTCAACAACCTAAATGCCTACTAACAGAATAATGGCTTGATATTGGTATACTTATAGAATGGAATACATACATTTAAAATGTAGGACTAGAATTACAAACATTACCTCAAAAACAAAAAGCTGCATAAAAATCAAATTTCAGACTAGTATAAACTTTGAGATCATTCTTAAAAGTTTTAAAATCTGCAAAACAATATCCTATTTATGTATAAAACATGGGATAACATAAATGCTCAATTCATGACAACAATTACCATTGGTGAGAAGGGAAGAAGAATGGGATCCAGGAAAGGGACCAATGGACCTCAATTTATTTAAGGCAAGTAACTGAAGCACAATGTTAAAATTGAGTAAAAACAAGTGGTGAGTATAGGTATGTTCACTACATTAGCCTTTTTTGTTATCTTTATGTTTGAATTATTTCCCAATAAAGTAAATAATTTTTAAAGCTCCATGGGTGATGCCAATGTACTGCCAGTTAGGAGAGACAGAAAACATTCAACTTCAAATGCTAATCTAGGCATCTTCTTTTTGATCCTTATAAAGCATCCAGGCCCTGTGACTGACAAATTCTAATCTATTTTTTTCCCCAACATCTACTTCCAGTCTTTTGGAAATTAATTCAGAGTATAATGTAATCTACAATCTTTGCATGTATCTTTGTCAACATCTGCCCTACGGAATATAAATTCCTAGAAAATAGAAAAAAATCTTATTTTCTTAATCTCCCATTGCTGGGTGACCATGTGCCCTGGTTTCCCACCTGCTTTCCTGGCAAAATTATTAATAGTGTTCCCTTTCACTTTCAAAAGTGTCCCACCAGTTTGGATGCTAAGCTGCATGGTCAGCCCATCCACTGCAATAACTTATAATAGACATGACTGCTCATCTTCTCAGCATGGCCACATATAAAAGACTCAAAAAACATCATAGTACTTTGCTTTCCACTTTCTAAAACTTACCTCTCTTACACATTAAAAGGTACATTTGAACTGCTTCAAAAGCTAAAGAAATTATATGATTTTTTCATTTGTATCACTTTGTGAAGGGGAAATTCAGAAAAGATAATTTGTTTTAAAAATAATGCCTACAGTTGAGGCTTTATATACTCTGCCCTCAAAAAAATTCCAGAATATAGCTAGAATCTTGTGCATTAATTTAAATAACACACAAAGAAGAATATCAATCTAAAAACGGTAAATAGTAAGCACAAGGTATACAATTTTTTTGACCTAGAACATATTATTTTCTTAACCTAAATCAATTGGGGCCTTTAAAAACAATTCTGGTTCCTTGCTTTTCATTTTCACAGTTCAAAATTATTTAAACCATAAGTTTAAAGACAACAGGCATATTACCTGCATTTAAATCATTTACTGGCACTTGCAAAGTAGCTGCAACTTTTTTTAAAATGTTCTGCATTTCTGGTCCAGTTTTGAAGGCTTCCACGTGATAAAGAGCTGTAGCATTTTTTTCCACTTCAGTTAAAAACTTCTCACAGTGATCAAAAAATCTCATTAGCTTATCATTAACCCTTGGAGGTCCACACTCCATATCTGAAAGAGAGAAAAATTTATATATATATATATATTTGTAAATCACTGACATAAACGACAGTTTCAAATTATTGAAAATGTTAAGTGTGAAAAAGGAACACTAACATCTTACTAATCCGCATAGCTGAAATAAGCACATATTGATCAGGAAAGTCATAGGGTAAAATTATTCCCGATTTATAATGTCTGTAATGCATGAGAATAGCTAGAAAAGACTAAAGAAACAGAGATTGAAGATTAAATGTGTTGTAGTGATGCTACGCAATGAACCTGCTTTATACATTTATAAGTACTGCTTCTGTCAGGCACGGAAAACTTGAGAAACCAAACTAAAAATCAGCAAAGTTTCCACTTACAAGGTGAGAGAGAATTCAACATATGGAATCTATTTTCTCACTCTAAGCCAAAGTCTAAACAGAGTATTTTATTTTCTCAATTGACTTTCCCAACTCTGTGTTACTTTACAAAAGATTCTGCTTTGGACAAAAACGACTGACAAAAGCACAAAACGCACTGATGTTCCGGGTCTCCTGTGCTTCACTGTGCTGGTGCCTGTGACTTAGTTTATCTTTTAACTGAAACCCCAGATAACTTTCTATTTAGACTTTAATAAATTACATTATTCCCCCAATTTGGCAACAAATATGTATTGGAGAAGCATGCATAATCATTCAACTACTGGCATGCCCTTATTTTCAGTCATATTCAAAACACACTTTTTTTCCAATCACTTATCCAACAATTTGCCATGAAAAGAACACCAAGTATATCATTTTTGTACATAAAATATGAGAAAACTGAATATAGTTTTATCTGGGCTTTGGATGTGTATGCAAAAAAATATCAATATGTATGTTTAAGTGTCTCTCTTGAAATGGATAATTCTGCCCACTTTGTCAATTGGATTGCAATTCTTAAGAAAATATCTTGACAAGGAAAATAAGCTAACTTTATCACCTTTTTTCTGTGGCTGCTAAAATGTAATTTCCCAAGTGGATCTGGGTATTTTATCCTTGTTACTATCTAATTATTGCTAGTCTTTAAACAAAAACAAAGGCATTGTTCTGTTTCTATAAAACTACAAATCTAATTCAGCAGACTCCCTCAAAAGACCAGATGTACATAATAGGCAAAACTATTGTCTATAGAGAATAACAAAGTGGCTAGGCAAAGGGTTTACCATCTGAGACTGAAAACAGTCAGGAGTGGGCTTATTCCGAACTGTAATATTTTCATCCCCGGCTCTGTACTGAGAGACAAATGCCAGTCTTCACAATGCCATCTGAGAACAAAAATTCACTTGTTCTAGAAAGTCACTATAGATAATGCGTTATATTAAAATATGCTCTGCTTTCAACATTCTGTTAATTTAACAGATTTATGAGGAATTTTTACTCATGTTAATGGAAAAAGTATATCTTTAAAAAAACACAATTCAACAAATAATTAGACACAGGTCAGCTAACTGAATTACCCACAATAACATGACACAGAATCAGTGGAGAAATCCCTTACAGATGGTTTCACTGTTTAACAGCTACAGAAGAAATTACAAACCAGCCTACTTCTAATTTTTCACTTGGGCTTTGAAGCTAAACAATAATCCTCACTTCAATTCTGGCCTTAAAAGTGAACAAGAAACAATTAACGCTTGTTCATCTCTGTGGTACAAAAGTGTTACCTGTTTTTTCTTATCAGGTATGCTATTGGACAAACGGAAGCTATATAGCAAAATGGTAAAGACAGCAAGCTCTCAATCAGATTTCCTGGGTCCACAGCTAGCTGTACGAAAATGGGTAAATTATTTAATGTGTTTGTGTATCAATTTCCTCATCTTTTGAGACGGGGGAAAATACTATCAACTCTGGATTGTGGTTGTAAGGATTTTGTAAAATAAATGTGAGGCATACCTGGCACACAATAAGCATGAGGTGTATGCTATCATTATTATTTGTAACTATTACAACATTTTCTAAGACAAAAAGACCCATTCTAGGAAAACAGAAGACTTGGATTCTAGACCTTAAAAAAGACAATTAAGAAGGCATACTCCTGGGCTCGGGTTCTTCACCTGTGAAACAATGGGGCCTTACTAGATGATTTCTCAAATTTCGAAAAAGTATAATTAATGGAATAAATGAGTTAAGTTACTGCGTGTGACCATGGACCACAGCTACAATGATGGGAACGCTAGAGTAAAAACATGAACAAAACAGAAGAAAAAAGAAGGGCACAAAGGCTTGAGATCAGGTTCCTAAAACAGGCTGTAGGTCTAAAACTGCCATCTGAAGAAGATGATGAGTTTAAAAAAAAAAAGAAGAAGGAGGAAAAACTAGTATCGGAAGCAAAGCCTGAGGAAGAAAATTCTAGATTCTGTTTTTTAAAAAGTGCGCCCAATTGTGAAACTGGACGCCAGGGAAGGGGGAAGGGATGGGTTGGCGCTCGAAGGGGTAATTCAATTTGGGAATGGGAGCGCAAAAATTGCGGGAGACCTGTCTGTCCCCTTTCCTGTTGGATCCCCAACTCTACTAAAGCAGGGAGCGTGTAGAAGATGCTGAATTTACACCTGATGAATAAATGAACACACGTGTAAGGGGAAAAAGAGATAGCCAAGTCTGTAATATCCCGCGACAGGGAGGACGTAGCCCGAGGGATGACGGATTGGGAAAAGGGGAAAGAGAGCTGTGGGCATCGGAAAAGCCCAGGGTCTGGGGAAGGCAGGAGAGGATCCAAGGCGGGTGGGAGGACCGGGACAGCACACGGGCCGCCCGAGGGGTCACCTGCGACGTCGGGCGGCGGCAAGCCAGGGTGGTAATGCTGCCACAGCCCCTGCAGGAAGGCGGCGCCGCTATCCACGCAGCGGTGCTTGGAACTGGTGATGAGCCGCAGGCGGCCGTAGTTCTCACGGCTGAAAAGGGCCGGGAAGAGCGAGGCCAGACGCAGCGCCAGCTGTCGCATATCCTGCCGTCCCTTCTCTACTAGCTGCCCGTCCATCCAGTCAGCGTACCACAAAGGCCAGTCGGCCAGCGCTGCACCCAGGTCGCGGCTGCCGGTACTACTGCCCCCGCCATCCCTGGACCCGCGGGCCTGCAGCAGCCCGTGCAGCTGCCTCAGCTTGCGGATCTGTTTGGCCGTGGGGTAGCGGGTGCCGTGGCGAATGAGGGCGACCAGCTGCACCGGGGTGCAAGTTCCCTCCAGCAGCTCAGGGTCCCGCCACGGAGCTTCGGGGCCCGACAGCAGCCCGGGGTTGACATCCTCGTAGCGAGTCTTGGTGCCGAAATAGGGGCTTAGCGACGAGTCCACCGGGTCCCTCGGCTCTAGAAAAGAGCAGCGCGCAAGCGACGAGAGCAGCGCCGCAGCCAGGGCCGCGGCAGGCGCTACGGCGATCCTGAGGAAGCAGCGGGGCGCGCGGACCATTGTCGGCGCAGACCGTGGAGGGCGCAGAGCCGGCTGCCGCTGCCAAGCTTCCGGCTCCGGAGGGCAGGGGGCGGGTCTGGAGGGCGCTTCCGGCCGACGGCAGTCGGGATGCGCTTCGCTGTCGTCGAGGAGGTACCGGCAGCTGGCGGTCAGTCCTGCGTCCCGGCGGAAAGCTCCGAGGAGCCCTGTAGACTTGTGGCTCGGGTGGAGCCGGCGGAAAACCCGGGGAAGCTTGAGACAGCCGTGGCTGAGGTGGAGCCGGCGTCGCTGCCCTGGAGCGTGGGCGAGTTTCCTCTTAGCCAGAGCTTCAGGGATTGACTCAAAGACTCCTCCGCTTTTTTAGTTGTTTTGGGTGTGAATAAAGCCCAGACTAAACCTTAGCCTCCCAGGCTGCCAAAACAGGACAGCTGTGATACTGTGTTTTTCAAAGTATAGTGCCTGAACCATCAGCATGAAATCTGCCTGAGACGGTTGTTGAAAATTCACATCGCTGGGCCTTGCCGCAGGGTGCCTCTTGAAGCCCAAGGTGTTTGTCTTTTTTTGTTTGTTTGTTTTTCCATTTGAGTTTGAAAATAAACAGGATACAGTAAAGCAGAGAACTTGGAAAGGGGCTTACATTCTGCAGGAATTTGAGTCCTGAATCTTTGGTATAATCTTGACCTGGACTACCAGAGCTCATACGGACATCAGTGAGACAACACCCTCAAAGTTTTGTGCTTGTTGATCCCGAAGGCTTAGCGAGTAGAGACATAGCAGTCTGGAAAATTTGGGTGCATTGAGTCATGGCCCAGCAGATTTACTATATTATTAAGTATGAGCTAATCTGCTTTGCGAAGCAAACATGCTCTGTATTTACCACCACTCCAGATACATGTGTTCCTCATACGTTCCTCCCATATACTTACATACTCAAATCAGCAGCTGGGTTTTTTAATAGATTATTGCTCAGAATCTTTGCCTGATCCAAAAAATCATAAATCTGAACAATACGTTGTTTTTTCCCACTTAAACTCCAGTTTATATGCCAGCTGGGGAAATAATAAGTATTACAAAAGTCGTATGGTGATCCAGATTTAAGGAACTTGGGACCGCGTTTTCGTAAGTTAGCTTTTCCTTCAAAGAAACTTACATTTCTCTTTGTAAGTCCATCACCATCTTTACTCCTTTTCTCTTTAAGTGTCTCCTTGGTTTAGAGAGGTGTGCCTCTAAGTTTAGGCGTGCCTGTAAATGTTAACCAAGAAGAAAAGGGGCCAACCTATGAATGCTGAAATTTTGGAAACGTTCTGTGCAGGAAACCATCTTTAGGGCAACAGATGTTCTTTTTGATATGCTATTTTGTAGCATGTCAATGCCTGAATATTCATGGCCAGTGATATTTTTGTAGAACTTTGCTTAAATTAGCACTTAGTAAATATCCGCTCCTTCTTAAAATAGACATTCTAACCTGTATGCTCTATAGGATGAGTTGCCTGATATTTCTAAGTGCATTCAGCGAGCATTTGTGCCAGGTTCATCTCACTGTATTTTGCCTAATACATATGCTTATTAATGATCACTTCTCATACCCAATGTTTTGAGTCCTAGGGGTTACCAAGTGTTCCAAAGTCATTATTCACTTCTTATGAAGCAATCTTTAGAGACTCTTACTTACAAAATGTATGGCACAGCACATATTTTTATACATGAAACTTGCCCCTAGTTTGATTTTACTTTCCTTATCCTAATTCCTCATCAATTGATTTTATCCTGTTTTATACACTTAGGTACATCCGCTCCTAAGTATTTTGATGTTATGCCAAGATAACAATGATAAAGTAAAAGTAAGCAATACCTCCTTGTTTTTGACTAGGGAAAAGCCAAATATAGTATAAAGAAGACAAAGAGTACTTAAGCTTTGGACCCAGACTCTAATTACCTCTGTTGCTTATTCATTGAGTGATCTTGGGAAGTTACCATGTTCTCTGGGCCTTAGTTTTTTTGTGTGTTTTTTTTTTAAACTGAAAATTGGTAATATTAGAACCTATATCATGGGATTATCATGATAATCAGAGATGATGTATTTAAAATGCATATAATAGGCTGCTATAAATATTTTTATCGTTACTAATGTTATTACTATGTTCAGAGTGGAAACTATGATTTCAGAGTGAGAACTATGTTTTCAGAGTGGAAAAGAAAAAAAGTTTAACTTGATGTTCCTACATTAATGAGTCTTGAGTAGAACTTCATTTCTAATCAATCCACTATATTAGTCATCATTACTAATGTTCAGGCATTGACATGCTACAAAATAGCATATCAAAAAGAACATCTGTTGCCCTGAAGATGGTTTCCTGCACAGAACGTCTCCAAATTTTCAGCATTCATAGGTTGGCCCCTTTTCTTCTTGGTTAATATTTACAGGCATGCCTAAACTTAGAGGCACACCTCTCTAAACCAAAGTGACACTTAAAGAGAAAAGGAGTAAAGATGGTGATGGGCTTATAAAGAGGAATGTAACAGTGTCTTTAAAGGAAAAGCTAACTTATGAAAATGTGGTCCCAATAATAGAACTGATGCCTAGCTTTCTAGCAATTATATGGATTATACTTACTCCCACTGAACAATAAGGTGAATGACTTTCACAGGCACCACATGCATGAAAGATTATTTCATAACTTTTCTAATGATAAAAATCCACTCATCTCACTTAAAATGGATATCTCATTCTTAGAGCACTAAGCAGCCTTTGAAAAAATTTAGAAGTCACTGGCCGTGCTCATCGTTTCATACCAGACCATGTCTGAATTATCTGGGCAGTCTGTAAATTGGCTGCCCTTTGACATAGGTGACCACTTGGTCCAATCATGTAGTACAGAGAAGTTTGCAGAGTGCAAAACATGGCTATCCCTTTGCAGAGATCATGGGAAAATCACCTCCCCTCATAAGAAATTGGTAGTATGGGAGCAATATATTTGGCAAATCTAACACAATACAAGAGGCAGAAAGGAAAATTAATGGTTCAAGGTCCTTGCAGAGATGGGAGAGGATGGAACCAAAAACACAGGTAGAGATTTTGATTTGGGCCAGAAGGAGATGAGACCATATCTTCTGAGGGAATGTTAGAAGGGTGGGTGAACATGAGGATAAATTTGTAGATCTGGCAGGAAGGAGTTCACGGAATTCAAGCCTGATGACCTCAGTTTCCACAGTAACATAGGAGACAAGTTTGAAAGATGGGGGAATAGGAATTAAGTCTTGGAATGTGGAAGTGCTTTGTACTTGTAACTGAGAGAAATGGGAAAATAATGGGAAAGGATTGACAACTAAGAGGAATGGGAGAAACAAGTAGAAGTTTGTATGGTCAGCTCTGGAGATCCAACTGAGAATGAATTGCTAGTGGTTGTGCAATTTTATTTAGAAGCAAACATTATCTGTTGTATTTTTTCAGAGTGGAAAAGAAGAAAAGTTTAACTTGATGTTCCTACATTAATGGGTCTTGAGTAGAACTTCATTTCTAATCAATCTACTATACTAAAGGATAAGCTCAATTATTTTTGCTAGATTATCCATAGGACTTCAAAAATAGTCATTCCACTTTTAAGATTGCGTGGTGTCGACCAGGTGCGGCGGCTCATGCCTGTAATCCCAGCACTTTGGGAAGCTGAGGTGGGCGGATCACCTGAGGTCAGGAGTTCGAGACCAACCTGGCCAACATGGTGCAACCCCGTCTCTAGTAAAAATACAAAAAAGAAGCTGGGCATGGTGGCAGATGCCTGTAATACCAGCTACTTGGGAGGCCAAGGCAGGAGAATCACTTGAACTTGGGAGGTGGAGGTTGTAGTAAGCCGAGATCATGCTGTTGCACTCCAGCCTGGGCAACAAGAGCAAAACTCCATCTAAAAAAAAAAAAAAAAATAGATTATATGGTATCATATATAGTATTTTAAGTTACAGCCATCTACTTTTAAAGAGGTTACTAAGATAGTTTTCTGGGGATGAAACAATAAAGGAAAGGAAACAGCTAAATTCTGTAGGGAAATAGGAAGGCTCTCTATGTAAGCATATACAATACTGGACTAAGAACATAGTCTCAGAAGTTAGACTTTCTGGTTTTCAGATTCCAGCTTCATCTCTTATTACCTGTGAATATTAAACAAATTAAATTATTTTGCCTCAATTCTTTTTAATTGTAAAGTGGGGATAATAACACCTAGTCATGAGACTGTTGAGAGGATTAAACAGTTTACATAAAGACTTTATATAGTTCCTGCCCCAAAATAAATATCAGTTGCTTTTATTAAGCAGAATTAAAGGGTTTCTTATTATCACTTCTCCCTTAATCAAATAAACTGACAAATAGTTTTTCATAGATATTTATTATCTCATAACTACATTGAGCAACGAACTTTGTGCCTATGCCAAGAAAGTTTGAGCTTTCTTATCTTTCTGCCCTACTGTTGCATCATTCCTTTTAACAGTTGCCAGATGTTGATTTAGTGTTTATTTGCTTTCTGTTGCAGTGGAAGCCAACAGAAGAGGGGTCCGTGTGTACAGATGGGGCTGGAGTGATCCATGTTCCAACAGCAGGCCCTTTAACCTCACTTGAATATGAAGGCTGCATAGGTCACAAGTCTGAAGACTACAAGCTACCTTTGCTTAAAAGGAACCACACCATCACTGATAGCTAACTGCTAGATTGTTCTCCAGCATATCAGGACTACATTGAATTGCTTGAGTTGCGCTTCAATTAATGTAGAGAACTTCACCGAACCACACATAACCATTGAAGTAACCTGCTGTTTACAGTCTATCATGCTCTGCCAAGGGAGTTATTTTACAGTGACAAAACTTCTCTTCTGGTGCCCTGACACATCCTAGGACTTTGATGTTGGTAATTCTTTCCCCCCAGCAAATGTTGGTTCTAAATCCACAGAACTACTTGAGAAACCAGATGCAAAATTATGGTAGGTTTAAATTATCAATATTCTTTATATGTTTTGCTATTCCCATTTCAAAGAGGGAAACTAGCTATACACTTTCTAGTCCTGTTCTATGGTGATTTTCCTGCACAAACCAAAACTATTGTTCAGAAATATAATTTCCCCAGAATTACCCTCCATCCAAAACATAATGTTATTCTATCACAAAGATAAATAATGGCTTTCCAAATCCTGGTGTAAAAATACCAAACACTCTCTTCTTCTCTATATTTTTCCAGACCAGGCATAGATGATAGCAGTTATGTTTTACCATCTTATTTTTTTTTTCTGAAATGTTAGTTTTCTAGGATATGGAAATCTTAGGATTCATAAAAAAAGAAAAGAACTTTTTGAAATGTTAGTTTTCCAAAATTGGAAAATCTTTTTGAGCCATTCTATCTTTAGGACTATTGGTTAGCTGACTTCAGAGCATTTGATGTTTCCTTATTATTTCAAACAACAGAGAACTTTCTGCCCCCCACCCCCCCCTTCTTTTTGAGACAGGGTCTGGCTCTGTCACGCAGGAGGCTGTCTATAGTGCAGCGGCAGAGTCTCAGCTCACTGCAACCTCCGCCTGGGCTGAAGTGATCCTTCCACCTCAGCCTCCTGAGTAGCTGGGACTATAGGTGCAGGCCACCACATCTGGCTAATTTTAAACAATAGAGAACTTCCAGAAGTTATTTATTAATTCTTCAAGAAATCTGTTTTTTACTTAGTCGATTAATGTCCATTTCATGTTGCCTCAGTAGCCCATGTAGGAATCACTCTTTTTTCAGATTTTGTTCAGTTTTGTTGTATATAGACCCATTGTTCTTTGATTGAGTTGCTTTGTATTATATATCAGTCAGTATTAAAACCCAAACAGTATCTAAACCAGAAAAGCAACGTAGGCACCTGTGAACTCACACACTTGGTTGCAATTGCTTCAGTAAAAAGGACAGTTTACACTCAAATTGAAGCAACCTTTATGTTTCCACAAACAACATTCCTTATTATCCCACCTCACCTTTTCATTCTTACTTCCTATGCTGTCTAATCTGATTCGGTACAAGAGATAAGGCAGGTACTGCTAAATGATAACTTAGATGCAGGGGCCATCATGAAAATATTCATCCCATATCTTACATTAAGCAAACTACCAACAACTGTTTGTTGAAAAGTATAAATGAATAAATGAAAATAGGATAGGCAATGTGGGAAGCTAAAATATGGAAGTGTTGTTGCTTCACTTTACGTGGTATAACGATCTCATTTTATCTTCCCAGCTCTCCCAGGAGGTATGCAGAACAATATTTATCTCATATTGTGGATGTGGCAATCAAGACAGAGAGGCTAAATGCTTTACCTAAAGTCATCCAACAAATATTTGGTAGAACCAGGGCTAGAATGCAATAAATGGAAATAGAGTTATTTCGGTGTTTCTTTTCCTGATACTAGCTTATTCATGACAAATGTATAATGGCTTCAGAAGGTGTCACTTGTTGCTAGGGATAAACTTTACCTGTAATACTGTAGCACTTACTATTAGTTAACGACCCACTATTTATTCTCTTTTTGTCTTTGGAATCTTTGGAATGTGTAAGTATTTGCCTCCCAGGAAGCTCTCTTTATCCTCTCCTCAGGAGAAAATCCTGATTTGGTCTAAACCAATCTTGGTAACTATCTTTCTTGCCAGTTTTGTTTTAGGAATGGGCATGCAACTCAATTCTAGCCAATGAAATATGAGGAGCAGTCTACTGGGGAGTTTCTGGGAAAGTTTGTTTTTCTTGTCCTAAGAAATAAATAATGGGGTAATAAAGCTTCAACACTTTGTGAGATCACTGGATTGGAGATCCTGTTGAGTCAAAGGAATATTGAATTTGACACAGTAAAATAGCCTGTAAGGAAAGGAAATGATATTCAGTAAATGAAATGCTGAAAATTGATATTTTGAAGGTGGTGCAGTAGTTGTTACTGATTAAATGAAACAGTTGAGATTAAGAAAGTTTAGCCAGGACAAGTTATATAGCACAAATCATTTGAGATAAGGAGGTTAAAAAAAACCCTGAGGCCGGGCGCGGTGGCTCAAGCCTGTAATCCCAGCACTTTGGGAGGCCGAGATGGGCGGATCACGAGGTCAGGAGATCGAGACCATCCTGGCTAACACGGTGAAACCCCGTCTCTACTAAAAAAAAAAAAAACTAGCCGGGCGAAGTGGCGGGCGCCTGTGGTCCCAGCTACTCGGGAGGCTGAGGCAGGAGAATGGCGTAAACCCAGGAGGCGGAGCTTGCCGTGAGCTGAGATCCGGCCACTGCACTCCAGCCCGGGCGACAGAGTCAGACTCAGTCTCAAAAAAAAAAAAAAAAAACCCTGAGAGGCCGGGAAGTCCTGGTTCCAAACTTCTGCTCTTGCTGGACTTGAGCCCCACTAGCTTCTTGTCTTCGACTAATCTATGCACCCCTCCTTTCCCACTGCTAAAAAGCCGAGCTCACTCAACAACTTTAATTTTATTCAAATAAATTATTTTATACAGACATTTTGTTTTTAGTAGATGTTATTAGTGATTAGGAAAAATGAAAGAGATTGACATCTTTCAATTGACAGAGATGCCAGTAATTTTAAGTATAATTTTTTAAACACTTTGTTCTTAAAATGAGAAATAAATGCAAGGACGGGATTACTGCCCTGCTCATTGGCATGTCTAAATATGATAGCTAGACCTGCTGCAATTATCTTGCAACCAGGGAGGAGCTAGCTTGAAAATAAAGCCAACACAGTGAGATGACAAAGCAGAAAGTGGAAAGAACCTAAGTCCTTGATGATGCTATTGAGCTGATGAATTAAACCTGAAGTGTATCTACCATGGGCGTCTATAAGGAATTAAAATATCTTTACTGTTTAAACCAGTGTTTCATTGTTTTCTGCAGAAATCCTAATTGGCATAAACTATTGACCAATTAACCCCACTGCAACCTCACCTGACCCCTTAGGATGTCCTTTCATGCTTTTCTTGATTTTATTGAAGTTATGTATTGAGAATAATAGAAAATCACAGAAGGTGATTTCCTGATCCCATCTCCTTAGCTATGACCTCGTGTCTCTGACTCATGATCATGGTTTATGAAGCATGGGAAGCACTGGGAAAAGTAGGAAGTAGGTAGTTAAGATGAGATGTCTGATGATGGAGGTTATTGGGGTCAGGACAGGTGGGTAGGCAAGGTGAAGTGTGTAAGCTAAGCAGGAAATGCAAATGAAAATCAGAGAGAAGGTACCTCTTCAGAACAGATTCTTAGAAAGCCATTATTAGGAACATGTGGGCCACATCTTTGAGAAGCGTTGTGGAATTCACATTACAGTAATGGCATCACTTAGATTCATGCTCTTCTCTCACAGAGAGAAATCAATGTTTATAGGATGTCAAAGGGTCTTCATCATATGTCTTAGTCTGTATTCATTGCTATAAACGAATACCTAAGGCTGGGTAATATACAAGGAAAAGAGGTTTATTTGGCTCACACAATTCTGCAAGCTGTAGAAGAAGCATGGCACCAGCATCTGCTTCTGTTGAGAGCCTCAGGAAGCCTCCATCATGGTGGAAGGCAAAGGGAAACCCGTGTATCACATGGTCAGGGAGGAAGAGAGCAAGAGAGGGGAGGAAGGTATCAGATTCTTTCTAACAATAAGATCTCATGGGAAGTAGGAGTGAGAACTCAATCCCATGAAGATAGCACCAAGCCATTCATGAGGGATCTGCCCCCATAACCAAAACACCTCCCAGTGGGCCCCATCTCCAACATTGGGGATCAAATTTCAACATGAGATTTGGAGGAGACAAACATTCAAACTGTATCATTGTGCTTGTTTTCTTCAGAAATAGACCAGATTGATATGTTTCATGATGACATTATGATCTAAAAATGAGAGTTTATTTCAGTTTGTCCTGTATACACCCAAGAGGTCCAGGATATTATTCTCTCTGTCTACCACAAGTCCTGCAAACTATAAGATGGCCTTAACATTCAATCTAGGGTGGTTCTGCCCAGTGACCTTTTGTCTTTCCTAAGTGTCTTCCAAAGAACATAGTAATATTCTATCATGAATTATATGAAAGCTGTTTACATGGATTAAACAGCAAATCTGACAAAGAGGCTGCTCTTTGATGACTCTAGACATATTTATGCTTAATATTTTAGACATTTGAGAAAAAAGTCAATTTATTAATACTTTATGTTCAATTGAGTTTGAAGCCATAAAGAGGAAGGGAATAATAAGGATTAGAGCAAAACTAAATGAAATAGAGAATAGAAAAACAATAGAATCAATGAAACAAAAAATTATTTCTTTGAAGAGATCAACAAAGTTGACAAAACTTTAACTAGATAAGAAAAAAGAATATTCAACAAAATCAGAAATGAAAGACAGTACTACTGATTTGTAGGATTAAAAAGGATTGTAAGAGAATACGTATAATAGCTACATGTCAAAAAATTGGATAGTCTAGATGAAATAGACAAATTCCTAGAAACACAGAAACCAACAAAACTGACTCAGGAAGAAAGAGTAAATCTGAATAGATCTATAAAAAGTAATGATATTCAATTTTGGTTGAATCAGCAACCAAAACTCTCCTAACAAAGAAAAGCCCAGGAACTGATGACTCCACTGGTGAATTCTACCAAACGTTTAAAAACGAATTAACACTAATCCTTCTCGAACTCCTCCAAAAAATTGAGAAACAGAATCCTTACTGAGTCATTCTATGAAGCCAACATTACCCTGATACCAAGGCTAGACAGGCAATACAAGAAAACTATGGCCAAATGTCCCCTATGAATGCATTATAGATACAAAAATCCCCAGCAAAATGCTAGGAAATTAAATTCAGCAGCCCTTAAAAGAATTATACACCATGACCAACTGAGATTTATCCCAGAAATGTAAGAGTGGTTTAACATATGAAAATCAGTCAATGTAATACACCAAGTAATAGAATGAAGAAGCGAAAAATTCATGATCATCTCAATTGATATAGAAGAACGTTTGACAAAATCCATTACTCCTTTATGATAGAAATGTTCAATAAACCAGGAATAGAAAGGAACTGTCTCAACATGATAAAGACCATGCATTAAAAACTCACAGCTAACATCATTGTCAGTGGAGAAAAATGTCAAGCTTTTCCACTAAAATCAGAAGACATGGATGCCTGTGTTTGCCACTTCTATTCAACATAGTATTGGCAGTTCTAGCCAGACCCATTAGGCAAGAAAAAGAAACAAAATAAATCCAAATTAGAAAGGAAGAAGTAAAACTATCTCTGTTTGCAAGTGATATGAGTGTAGAAAGCCCTAAAGAATACGAAAAATAGCCTCTTAAAGCTAATAAACAAATTTAGTAAAGCTTCAGAATACAAAATCACACAAAAATCAGTCATGTTTCTACATACTAGCAGTAAAAAATCTGAAAAGGAAATTAAGAAAGTTTCATTTACAGTAGTACCCAAAAGAATAAAATATTTAGAAATCAATTTAACCAAGAAGGCAGAAGACTTGTACACTGAAAACTACAAAGCATTCTGGAAAGAAATTAAAGTAGACTTAAATAAATGGGAAGAGATCCTGTGTTCATAAGTTGGAAGACTTAATATTGTTAAAATGACAACGTTACTCAAAATGATATGTAGAGTCAATGTAATCACGCTATTAAAATCCCAACAGTGCTTTTGGCAGAAACGGAAAAACCTATTCTAAAATTCATATAGAATTTCAAGGAACCCAAAATACTCCAAAATAGGCAAAATAATCTGAAAAGGAACAAAGTTGTAGGACTCACACTTTCTGATATTAAAATTTACTACACAGCTATAGTAATTGAAATAGCATGGACTTGGCACAGAGATAGACAATATAGACCAATATAGACCAATGGAATAGAATCGAGAGGCCAGAACTAACACATCTATGGTTAATTAATTTTTAGCAAGGGTTCCAGGACCACTCAATGGGGAAAAGGACAATCTCTTCAGCAAATGGTGTTGGGGAAACTAGATATCCACAAGCAAAAGAATGAAGTTGGACCTATACCTTTACATAATGTACAAAAATTAACTCAAAATGGATCAAAGGCCTAAATTTAAAGCTATGAAACACTTAAATATTAAATGCTATAAAACTCTTAGAGGAAAACATATTGAAAAATCTTCATGACCTTGGGTTTGACAATGGTTTCTTAAATATAACATCAAAAGTACAAGTGATGAAACAACTGATAAATTGGACTTCATCAAAATTGTGCATCAAGTGACACTATAAAGAGAGTGAAAAGATAACACAAAAAATTGGAGAAAATGTTTGCAAATCATATATCTGACAAAAAACTAGTATACAGAATGCATAAAGAATCCTACAACTCAACAAATAAAAGATAAATAACTCAATTTTTTTAATGAACAAAAGACTTAGACACTTCTCTAAAAAAAAGACATGTAAATAGTCAATAAGCAACTCAAAAGATGCTAAAACCACAATGAGATACCACTTTATACCTACTAGAATGGCTATAATTAGAAGAAAAAATAACTAGTGTTGTTGAACATGTGGAGAAATTGGAAACCTAGTATATAGCTGGTGGGAATGTAAATGGTTCAGCTGCTGTGGAAGATAGTTTGGCAATTCCTCAAAATGTGAAACAGAATTATTACCCAGTAATTCTACTCTTAAGTATATACCTGATATAGTTTGACTGTTTGTCCCTACGCAAATCTTATGTTGAAATGTAATCCCCAATGTTAGAGTGGGGCCTGGTGGGAGGTGATTGGATCATGGGA